CAACAGGTTGAAAAAATGTATACTTTGAATAATACAATGAACAAGTTTAACCAAAAGTGGTCTCCCCTTAACATTTGATGAAAAGCTAATAATAACAACTGCATATCAAGGTAAACTTACAACCCTTAAATAATTGATAAAAGCATGAAGACAGATTGTTGATTTTTAAAGTAAGTATATGTAATATATTGGTCTTGTGTATGTGTTATGTTGATAAGTATGTTTATTGTTTAATGTGTATGTGTAGACCAAAATGGCATGGTATATACTAGTATATAATTATGTATTAGAAAGGATGGACGTATGAACATATTAATGTCTTAATATAAAGAATTTTTGCAATGTCTATATGCTGTCAGGCATGCAAGGTTGTATGTGTATGGGTACGAGTGCATGTGTGTACAATTATGTGTGGTATGTATGACTCCAGTAATATTTTTGCCATTTCGAGTGTATGTATACTTTATTTATGTATACATAATTTGTAGTTTAATGTTACATAATTGTGCACTGATTATGTTTTTGTGTCTATGTATATAGGTCTAAATTGGTAGGTACATTAGTATTTGTACATTTTTGATTTCCCCAGACATTCTTTCTAAAGTTAATCGAAATTACACATGAAAAACAACATCATTCTTAGTTTATCTCGTCTAAATTTTAGAACAATAAGCCAATTCCAAATCAATAAAGCAGAATTTTTGGCATGTAAATAATGAATTTGTAAATTTATATAAAAGTTCTTTCAATGCTTGAATATATCAAGAAGGAATGGTTGGTGTAATTTAATATATCATTTCGATTAAATCAAATATTATTGTTATTGTAATGAATGAGTATGAGTGAATGGACTATTTTGAGTTTGAGAGAAGAAATGAAAAAGAAAGAGAGGATGAAGGGAAAGAGGCCTCCTGCGTGAGGCTATAAGAGGGATGATCCCGGGTCACCCCAACCCTAGCATCCCTCCCAAAGATGCTGGGGGAATAAAAAACAATTTGAACCTTGAAAAGAAGAAGGTTTAACTGGTTCCAGAGTCGGATTGTGGAGGGGAAAAAAGACAAACTTGTTAATTGAAGTCGTGAATTAGGTAAACAGTAATTTTCAGCAATACGGAGGTTATAGTGTGTTTTCTGAAACTGTAGGGGGAAGTAAAGAGGTAAGATAGTTAGGTGTAAGATTCTTATGGATTTTGTAAGACAGTGTTAATTTCCACCGAGTTCTACGTTCAGATAATGTTTCTAGACCAGTTTCAAAATACAATGATTCTCTACTTGAGAAAGACGGTAATCCTTGCAGCCTCAAGCTGAAGTTTTTTTCTAATTTGTCTGCGTCACCGAGAGTGCACCCATCCCATACCTCACAACAGTATTCTAATAGAGGAAGAATGTATATGATCTAAAGATTTTACTTAAAATTAGTCTATTCAAAATAAATTTCAAGTTACGTAAATTTATACAAATGTTTTCAATATGGGTCCTCCGCTTACAATTTTCATCCAAAATTACTCCCAGGTGCCTTTGATTCTCAACAAAATCAACACTTACGTTATTTAACCAGTCACATTTTCGCCCAATTTTGATTTGTTTTCCCCCATGTCATTATTAATCACGGCTTCGATGTTCTGGGAAGATGCATCAGAACATAATAAAGACGTATCATCAGCAAATAATTTAGACAAGCTTTCAAGTTTATCAGATATATCATTAATATATAAAATAAAAAGTAAATGGCCTAGTATTGAGCTTTGAGGGACTCCAGCATTAGTTGTTTTAATAGAAGACTTATCATTACCAATACAAACTTGCTGCCCTCTATACTTATAACTTTCCCGATAACTAGCTACTTTCAGCCCCTTGTGCCACTGTGCCCATCTGGCACTATATTGCTCTCTTAAATCGTAATTGTGTCACTATTTTTAATTGTGGCAAGTTCATTTTTGCAGTACAACTTTATAATAGTCGATTTGTTTTATAATATGCAACTAAATGGAAAATTATATATTATTGTGGGGTTTTTTGTATGAAGAAGCATTTTTGATTTTTACCCCGAAAAAAGGAGAAAAATAACAAAGAATAATGGGACGAAAAAGAAGCACACGGATCCCCCCATTTCTGGGGCTGTTTCAGAAAGAGAAACATGTTTTCTTTTCATCCATGAAATATTTAAAAAAAAGCTTAATAGAAGAACATTTTAAATCAAAGGTTTAATCTACAATGGAAAAATATAATATCTTAATATTGTGATTTCTATGCTTACCCAATAACTTCCTAGTAGACCTTATTAAAGCATCCGGCCAGAGCATAATGGTTTTTCGCCGAAAAAACATTTAAAATGCTAAATCAATATTTTTTATATATTATAGAATATAGCAATAATAGAGGGTTGATGAATTGTTGATAACTACAAAAGTATAATAAATAAATGAATAAAGCTGATCAATATTACTATCGTTGAAATTAAGAATCTTAATACACGAATAATTAAATGAAATTATTGTGACCAAAAAAAGGAAAAGTACGTAAAATGTAGAGCCAGGTAGAGCTATGCTTTTAGTAATGGCTGAGAGTTGTAGAGGTAAGTCTTCACGAGTTACTTCCCCTGAAAACATTAACCAACACTATCTGTGCAATCGATAAATTGTAATATTTTCATATACGATCGAAACGTGATTTTGCACATAAGTAAGGTAACGACATTTAGTATAAAAGTAAGAATAAATAAGTAGTAAAAACGTATTAATTGAAAATGGTGGGCAAGTAAAAATCTCGCTTGGCACCAATTCATTCGTTGGAACAAAATCTGCGTTATTTTAAATCGGAAAACTGCAATAATTTCAACTTATGCAATCGAAATGAAATTTTGCTTCAATTTAGGTGATATCATTCACTGTGTATATCAGGAGAAATGATTACAAAAAGTTACTTACCTAATTATTGGACGCGCAAAACCTCCGCTGGGCACTAATATCTCCGCTGGGCTCTCACTACTAACGGAGAAATGAGTGCCCAGCGGAATTTTCTTCGTCCTAGCAATTCGTTAAGAGACTTTTTATAATATTTTTTTAATGTCATCATCTAACTATATGCAAAATTTCAGTTCGATCGCACGAGTGGAATTATCAATTAAATTACCCGTGTGTATATCAGTGGAAGAATAAGTGCCCAGTTGGTGCCAAGTGTGGTTTTCTTGCAATTTATTAAGTTATTATTTTTTTCTCCATATAGTATAGGGTCAATGCCAGTCTGATCGCACGAGTGAGAAATACTGCAATTTACTTTTTAAACTAGGCCCACAGAAATTTTGCCGATGCCAGGGAAGAAACCCGTTACAACTCTCAGCAATTACTAATTGCATAACATAAGAATGTACCTGCTCTACTCAACATTATTATTATAATAAAATTATATTTGATGGTTATTGCCCGTTTGACATTAAGAATTATGTATGTTTTGGTCACAATAATTTTATCTTGTTTTTATCATTCATGATTATATTATTATTGGCTACAACCTTTTATTATTGTTATATTCTATCATAGGTAAAAAAAATATACCCGTTAACGTTTTTGGTATTTTTTTCTTCAAAATACATTGTAACAAATACTGATCAAATTAGGCTAAATACGTCATATATCGGTATTCTACACAAATATTACAAAAAATCATTTTAAACTTGAGTTTTCTAATAACATGTACAGTAGACAATTTCGTATTAGAATGTTAATGCTGATATTAGTTATATATCAAGGAATTAGGTTGATATTTAAGTCCGCGATTATATTGTGAATAGCATAGTTAATATTTGTACACTGATAAGCATATTATTCAAACATTATCTGTAATTGAATTGCAATGTATTTAAACTCGGTACTTGCTCTTAACCACGGACTGATTCCGTGATCTTAACCCATAAAACGTGTAAACTTACTCTTAACACGAATGCCAGTCGTTTCGGGACATATACAATTTTCACTTATAAATTACATTGCGCTCCCGTTTCACATAAAGTCCTGTAAATACACAAGTATGGTTTTAGTCTATGAGCTGTGTCACGACCTACCCGTGCCTGGAATCATTATTGTTACCAGCTGGTTGCTAATGTTTGTGGGGAAACCTACCAACATTTACCCGATTGACAATGTGTTGTTATTGATAGGTTGATTCCTTGTTGGATATTGTAATAATATGTTTTCAATTCACTCTATTCTCCATTATTGACATTAAGAGACGAATGAGTTCATTGATTCTAACAATGTTTTAAGCATTTCATTTTTGATAATTGAAATTAAATTTCATGAAAGTAAAAACATGAAACACATAGAATATGTTTTAGACATGAGAATCAATTCATCAAATCTAGCAATATATGTTGAGCGATGTTTTTATGCTGTTTATTTGTGTCTGTGTGAATATTATTGTAGCAGAATTGGTAGAGCATCCGCCTAGAGTTCGGAGGGTCCCGGGTTCGAACGCCGGTTTGGCTGTGCATGTTCCCTCTCCTGTTACATTATATATATTTATTCATGTTTTATTCAAATCATATATGTATGACGTAAGAAGACTATGATAAGTTCTAATAACTTTTATCCAATCGATTGTTTAAATCTATTTGACATTAAAATATGTTTAAAGATAAAAGACAATGGTATCTACAGAAGAAAAAAAGGAAAATCCCCAAACTACTTTTGACATGTCCCGAACCGACTTTCGTCTTATTACCGAAAAGACCTGACACCCTTAACACCTCACTGAACTTTATAGGACCTACCACGGACTTGGATATCTAATTCCGTGGTACAACTGTATAATATAGCTGTAAACAATTATCATGTCACTGTTGAGGACCTCATCCTTTTCGAAAATTCCTGAAGCCGCCCTAACCCAAGAGCAATCGGGGATGCGTCGGACTTGCCTATAGCTCGCGATCGCTCCACAATATTAAGCATACCGCATGTACCCTCTCAGTTATTCAAGGGAGGTAACTGTATAAGCACTTCCGCTCCAAAACAAAGACAGGAGTAAGAGATGCTGCAGTTGAGAATTATGAACTTTTATCGTTATTGCAGTGTGTCTGTACACATACAAAAGGTAAGAAGGGTACAATATACCTATTTGGCACTTATTTTCCCTGTAAATGTCGCTTCATCTTCCAGCTTAGCGATATACTTACCCAGGATAGAAAGTATGATTCAGAGAGTATAGAATTACATGCATTACATCGCTTGATGAGGCAGTCACAGAACCGGGCATTTAGGATGCTAAACGGACACGTATGGACTTACTTTATTTCGTAAGTGAAATGTGTAGATTTGTGTTAAATATGGATGCAATGTTAACGTAAATTTTCACCAACTTGCACGGTATTCCGGAAGAATTTATGCCCCTGCAGTGAAAGCACACTGGATGCAAAACTTCATGGGATACGTACGTGTGTTGTATTTTGTTCTGATACCGGAGTACTGAACATTGTCGTAGACGTATATTAGGTTCGCCCCTTGTATATTGTCAGACATTGCAAACCGTTATACATTCTGTGTAGTAAAAAAATCTGAATAGTTTTCAGATAGACTAGACTACTAAGGATTAGTGAGGGGGAATTAAAATCGTCATAGATCTGATAGATTAGTATATAATTGATGATTGATAATCAGTTTACATTTCACCCCAAAATACTAGTTCTATGTCAGTAAAAACATTTTACCACCGTGAAAAAAGCTTTGATGAAGCATTTCTGAAAGGAAGCCATACCTTGTCAAACATTTATAAATAAAATTACAATCAACAATAGTTAACAGTGTTCTTAGAGTCTTCGATCACAATACTATGACTGTTGCTCTAACATAACTAACCTGAGCGGTGATTCACTGACCTAGCCCCACTAAATTAATGGAGGTTATTATAGTGTATGTATCAATTTATGATAGTGGTACAGTACAGTGGAATAATGTGAAAACACATATTTTGCATGCATTATTGCACAGGGATCCTAAGTTACAAAAAATATTTGAACTAGAAATTGTTGATAACAATATTTATTTAATGGCGTTTTCGAATTCAGAGTTAGGACTAAATTTGTCTTTGATCACAAACCATTTTTGAAACCTCATGGTCTTAATACCCTCTATGAAGAACAGGATAATATAAACGACTATTGAAATTCATTGATTATATAGCATTCATGCAATTATATTATCTTTAGAAATTCTTCTGGGCTACATTTTCTCATGAGAATTTACATGTTAATACCAAAAAAATCCTCACTGTTTGGTCAAAGGTCACCTTTTCAACTTTTTATTTTTTCAATATTTTTGTAGTTGATGTTTCCCATGATGTTTCACAATGAATTTGGCGTCTTAATTTTTGCTGTAACGTGAACCGTTAACGTCAAACTCCCTTTCAAATTTTTCCTTTGGATCTTTTGAAAAGCGGTCAATATACCATTTTATTCTGATGTTCTGCTATAAAGCATATTTTATCCAGTGTAGGTACTTTATGTTTGCGTCGACTAGCTACCTACCAAATTTTTGATAACTTATCTTGAAAAAAAATCCACGATGGCTGCTATGACGTCATATCCTTTTTTAGCTCACCTGGCACGAAGTGCCAAGTGAGCTTTTGCCGTGGCGCGGCGTCCGTCGTCCCTCGTCTGTCCGGCGTCAATATTTTACTTTAAACGACTTCTTCTTAATAACCAAAAGGCCTAGGGTGTCAATATTTGGCCAGAAGCAAACTTGGATGAAGGGCTACAAAGTTTGTTCAAATAAATGACCTTCACCTATTTTCAAGGTCACAGGGGTCAAATATGTCAAAAACTTTAAACATCTTCTTCTCAATAACCAAAATGCCCAGGGAGATGATATTTGGCCAGTAGCATGCTTGGGTGAAGGGCTACCAAGTTTGTTCAAATGAATGACCTTCAATTATATTCAAGGTCACAGGGGTCAATTGTATTAAAAAACCTTTAAACAACTTCTTCTGAATAACCAAAATGCTCAGGGT